AATTTTTAATGCTTATCACAGTATACACCCTACCACATCACACAATTTTTCTTCTGTATCATATTATTAGCACTTCCTCTTCAACACATATACCACTAGATCAGCTAATTCATGCCAATCCAATAAACAGAATTTATGGATGAACACTCTGAAATATAATTGTTCAGCTGTAACAAATTATCAGACAAAATACACTGCACTTCACCTTCCTTCATTGATAATAGCACCCATTGATTTTAGAAGGAGCAGAACAGTCCAAAAGTTCACGTTGTCACTTCGACTATTTCAGAACCTGCTAGAAATATTTTTTTTTTCCACTTTTAAAGCTTTGTTCCATAAACTGTACAACCAACAGCCTCAACAATAAATTTCATGAGCACTTTCAGGCCCTACCATTGAAAACACTTTCAAGCTTGGTTAGCTTTATGCATGCGAGTGTTCCTTATTTATATCACAAAAGGACTATTCCTACACTTGAAGATACATGTATGCAGATGCGTATGTATTAGAAGAATAAGGGCACCAGTCTTGCAGGGTTATTTATTTTGAAGCAACTATTCATGTCACTTGCAGCCAACATCTTAAGTGCTGCCAAGTTTCATAAACTCTTGAAAGCAGGGGTCCCTGTTCTCAGTGTAATGAAAACCAACCTTCAAGCCCTACCATCTTTCAAAGGTCTGCACACCCGCAGATATTCTTTTGTACATACTTATAGCTGTAAGATGACATTCAGCTCCTGTTGAAACAAAGTCAATTTTGCAATTCCAGTGCAAACCCTGGAGCTAGCAGCGTGGACCTCACGCTGTCCTTGGCAGGCACCGGCAGAGGCAGGGCTTCCACACCAAACCCAGCTCCTCCAGTTCAGGGTGCAGGTTCCTGCCCTCTCCTTTGTTTGTCTTCTTCTCCATGAAACCATTTTAACATAATGGACCAGCAGAAGATTAATCTGGCAGATAGATCAGCATTTAGATGGGTTTAGCTCTTGTTGAACCACAAGCTAATAGTTATATTCATTTATTCCTTCAGCTGTCTTCTAAGGAGTGGTAAGGTCACAGGATGACACTACAGAAGGCATCACAAAGGGGTTCGAAGAAA